CCAGCAGTGACCATCATTCCTTGAAAAAAATTTCATTACTGAGAAAGTAATGAACCAGCGACTCTTGAAATTCAGCAATAGCACCAATCCTAAGCAATCCATCATTTGCTTCTGTACTTTCCCTCCACCTACCCACCCATGGAAGCAGAGTCCTAAGACTTGCAGAGTCAGAAATAAGGAGTGCTTCTGACACCTATGCAGAGCAGACAACCGAGTGCCTGCCCCAGTACACCATCCTCCGTGGTGAGGGAGAGGCTGCAGGACTGTCCCCACAGGATGTTTTGAAAACCTATGGGGGCATGTTTTGGTGTCACAATAATTAGGAGGACACTGTCAATGTTTATTGGATGAGACACCAGACATGTTGCAATGTCTAGGCTAATTCTGTATTGCAAAGAATTATCCAAAGTGTCACGTGACTCCCAATTGTATCATCCAATATTCATGAGGCTGAAAACATAGATTTATAGATCTGTGATTCTAGATACTAAAAAAAAGTAATTTTTGTACAGTCCTAAATGTACACTGAATTTTTCATAAGTGCAGCTACCACATAAGTCCATGTAAGGTTGTAAATTTTTTGGTTGGAACTTTACCAAGAGCTGTTCACCTTTTGAAAAATCACAATACTAGTATCTAAACCTCTGTTGGGATTTGAGCCACCAGCAAAGCACACCTGTATCATGCTACATGGGAGAGCCATTATATTCCCGGCAATTCTACATAGACATGTAAGCTCTGACGACTTTATCGTGTCTTCTGTTGTAGTTGTGCCCGGACAGTTACATATTTAAATGTAAGTTTCTCCTTAAAGTTATTTTTTCAACATTTCTCATGTATATTTTAGTAAGAACATTCTATTGAATTTCAAAATTATGTTTAGAAGTAAGTTTTGTTACCTAGATATTTAATTTCAAGAGATTAAAAGAAATGTTACAAAAAGTTTCCTATGAAAAGGAAATTAAGTCTGATAGTGAACTACGGCAATACCATTTATATGGTGAATCATTAAGAATGCTTTTAGATGCAAGTAACAGCATGCTGAATGTGGTTTGAAAAATAAAGATTTAATTTTTTTTTTTGTAAAACAAGACACCTAGAGGTAGGTATTTTCAGTGTTGGCTTCGTGGCTTAATGATGTGGAAAATAACCTAGGTGACTGTCATCTTTCTGCTCAGCTACCTTCAGTGAGTTGTCATTTATCCTCAAGATTGTCCCTTTGCGGTTGCCAGAGAACTGCTACAGCTCAGTCAGTATCCAAAAGGAAGAGGCACTAATTTTCCCTTGCATAGCTCTTTTAACTAAAGAGGAAGATTTTTTCCAGAAGCTCCAGGGAAAACTTTCTGGTTTAATTCACGAAAATTTAACTAGATGCTGATGGCTGCAAGGGGAGCTGGGAAAGCTAGTGTTTTCAGAATTAAGTACAGGTGGCTCTGCTGGTGAGCTTCTGGGTGGGGGACTTAAGGGGGACAGGTGCAAATGGCTGTGAGCTGCAATCATAACTGCTTGCTATGATTACTCAGAACCAAAAACACCTAACGAATGGTAGGTTTTAGAATGACTTATCTATATGTTTATACTTCAACCAAAAGTATGAAAAAAGTCATCAGTGAAATTATGTTTAATGATATTGATGCTCTATACCGTTTTTCTTCATAGTTGCCACAATTTATCAGGGATTTCTTTGTTGTCATTGTTTTATTTATTTATTTTTTTGAGACAAGGTCTTGTTCTGTTGCCTAGGCTGGAATGCAGTGGCACAATCACAACTTACTGTAGCTTCAACCTCCTGGGCTCAAGCCATACTTCCATTTTCAACTCCCAAGTAGCTAGAACTACAGCTGCGCCACCATGCCTGGCTAATCTTTTTGTTTTGTTTTGTTTTATTTAGAGACAAGGGTCTGTCTATGTTGCCCAGACTGGTTTTTAACTCTTGGGTTCAAGTGATCCTCCCACCTTGGCCTCCCAAAGTGGTGGGATTACAAGCATGAGCTACCATGCCCAGCTCTAGTTGCCATAATTTGATTTTAAATTAAAGTAGCATGTTCTGTGTTCAAAAAAGATTCAACTGTGGCACCTACCTCATGGCTTTGGTGTGGGTGACAAGTGAGAATGTATGCAATTACACCTGTAAGATATTCTTGATCTGATAGCACTATCCCCAAAGAATGCATATGAAGCATAACTGTAAATTTATTTTAAGCTAGGTGTCACAGCCTAAATGGAAATTAAAATGGAAAAAAATGTGTGAAATTGAAATTTTGCAATCTAACTTTCAAATTCATACTAGAAATCTGATAGGCTAAACTACTAGAATATTGAGAATGCAACCTTTTAAAAAATGGAAATAGTGAAAAGGAGACTTTTCTGTCCTGTTTTAATCCCCACTGGCCATGCCTCATTGAGATCTAGAACACAATTAGGCACTAGAACCAAGAGCCAACAAAGGGTGATGCTGTTCTCTCCAGCTGTCACATGCTGAGCACCTTGCCATGCTCTTTGGTGCTACTCAGTGGAGCCACAGCTAAACCCAGGGACCAGATGTTTGGGTTTGCCCAGGAAGGTCTCACTTTACTCCTACTACTGATATGGACAGGAGGCCAGGAAATACTGGGTAGTAGAGGGCGGATTCCCAGCAAAGGCCCACCTTCAAGCTTGAAAACCTAAAGCTCTAAATGGGAACAGGCATTCCTGTTTTTGCCCCCAAATGTTGCCTTTTCCAAGACCAACCTGTTCCCCCATGCTCCCATCCTGTAACCATAAAAACCCCAAAACCCAGGTCCCACAAGCAGCAGAGAGGCATGGCAGAGAAGGAGAGAAGAGAGGAAGCATCTGAAAGGAGATCAGCTGGGGGCAGTCAGAGAGAAGATCGGCCCCAGGACAGCTGAACTCCAAGGGAAGATCACTTTCCCACTCCATCCCCTCTCCAGCTCCCCATCCCACTGAGAGCCACCTCCATCGTCCAGGTAAATTCCCACATTCATCATCCTTCAAGTCTATGTGACCTAATTCTTCCTGGATGCAAGACAAGAATTTGGGATACACTGGGTTCAGGAACTCAAAAATGCTGTCAGTCACCCTGACTCTTCACTGAGCTGTTTAACACTTAAGCCCTCCTCAGACAGCAGGGCGAAAAGAGCATTGTAATACTCCTAGACACTGCCATGGGGCCAGAACCCAAAAGCACTTGCCCCAGCTCCTGCACCTGCTCACCTGCATGCTCCCCTCCCATAAGGGATTTAAGCATGCCGTAGTCGTGCAAATGAGCCACATCCCTGTTTCAAGTCCCATGAAGGGGTCCAGGGAACCTCCTATTTCATTACTCCTACCCTAATTAAAAGTGTGTTGGTTTGGGGATAGCTACCCCACTTATCAATTTTAAAATTCTGGACTATAAAACCTAAACTCACACCTAATCTCTCAGCTTTAGGGCTGAAGAAAGAAAAGTTAAAAGAAGGGGAAAGTTGTAAGGTTGGGAGTTGGAGCAGAAGAGGGTTAAGCAAGAAGGAAAAAAAAATAGTAGGCAATTAAGAAAGTGAAAACTCAATCCCTACATTAGGAAGGACAAAAATCCAGAATACCATTTCTCCAGGTATTCTCCTTCTTGGCTGGGAGGGCTGGTGGGGAAGGAAAATTTCACAACAGCCCAATGAATGGATGGCTTGTTTCCCTCCAAGGAGGCTTACAGCTGGACACCAGTAGTCCGAATAGCAGTCCTGTTTCTCAGGCAGGCTTCCAAGGCCGCCAAGTGTTACAAGCCCTTCATAGAGCAGTGGATTTTAAAGGTGAATTGAAACTATTTTAAGATCCCTCTTGGGTAGCAGATGGGCAGAATGACGGATTGTTACTATGGTGTAGTTGTTTTCATTCCTGGCCCAACTGCTGCACTAAGCACACAGCACTGTGGGCTCCACAAGAGACTGGTGTGGTTTGCTTTCTCTGCAAGCAAGATGTGTTCTATGAAACGTGCAAAGAAAGAAGAGCGGGAACCAGATTACAAGTTCTTCTAAATAAAATAGAAAAACATTGACTGGCCATAATAGGAGTAGGCAAGCTAATGTGGAATTTCGCTTTGATATCGTCTTTGAGACCCAGTTGGGGGAAGGGGAGTGACATGTATGTGAAATTGTGCTTTCAGGAGTTTTATTCAGTAAGCCAAAAACTAAGAAGTCTTTTGATTGAATCAATGTTACCTAATATTTGGGCCAACATAATAATAATGAACTTTGATATAGCTCAGTGGTTATGCGTCCCAGTTCTAGTTACAGCCTTGATTCAGATCTCCGCTTCATCAGTAACTACTAACTTTAGGCAAGTTTCTTAACTATGTTGTATCTTGGTTTTCTCATCAGTGAAATGCTGATGCTGCCTCTGTCATAAGGTTGTTGGGAAGAGCTGATAAACGAAATGCTTAGGACGCTGCCTGGCGTGTCATGGTGCTTGTTAATGTCAGTTGTGGTGGTAGTTGTCACTATTAAATGGTATCATTTCAAGGTTCCATTGCAATCTCTTATATGTGCTTAGCTATGCTCAATTTGACAAGCCAGGGAAAAATGTTTTTTTCAGAGATGAGCTACTGATGTTTTGATAATGCTCCCAGGCCAAGGTGGGCAGCTCACGAGGTCAAGAGATCGAGACCATCCTGGCCAACATGGTGAAAACCCATCTCTACTAAAAATACAAAAACTAGCTGGGCGTGGTGGTGCACACCTGTAGTCCCAGCTACTCAGGAGGCTGAGGCAGAAGAATTGCTTGAACCTGGGAAGCGAAAGTTGCAGTGAGCTGAGATCGTGCCATTGCACTCCAGCCTGGCGACAGAGCAAGACTCCATCTCAAAAAAAAAAAAAAAAGTAGTAAGAATTCAGAGCAATTAATCACCAAAACTGGGAAGGTAGGACTGAAACGTTTTTGTTCCACAAAAGTTTTCTGAGCCTTTGCCTGCACAAAGTACTTTATTAGGACCTTTCTGTGCTACCAAGATGCATATGATGCTCAAGGACTTCATTCATTCCTTCATTTATTCCATGAGTCTGTGAGCATTAACTATGGGTCAAGAACTGAACTAGGAGCTGGAGATAGAACAACAGACACAACAGGGTTTTAACTTCAGGCCCTCACAGAGTGTGGGGGATGCTGACCAGTAGCAATCATTAGTGGTAGCTCAGGAACTCAGGGAGCAGAGAGGAAAGGGCCAAGCTCATCACTTGATGCGTGGGAAAGCAAACTCAGGTACCAGTACGGGCAGAGTTCACATATGGAAGAGTTTCAAGGTGGAGAATTCCTGATTTGACGTCAGATTTAAAAGAGCAGGTGAAACTCAGAGTCAATTTCGTATGAGCAGCAAGGAGAGACGGGGGGTTGGCAAGGCAGGGAGTATGTACCACTCTTCAGTTCTTCGCCTGCAGCGTGATCAGCCTTGTGCTAAGCCCTTTCCGCCATGCTCTGTGATAATCCACAGAAGTCAGGATGACTGTTGTCTTTTGACAGATGAGAAACCCAAAGCACGGGGTACTTAAGTGGCTTGCTCAAGGTCTTCCAGCTGCTTAGTGGTGCTGGGTTAAGCAGACGGCTGTGGCTTCAAGCTTTGGTTTTTCCATTGCCCGACCAGGGCTCAGTTCCAGGGAGGTAAATGGAGTCCATCCAGGATATTATGAAAGGAAAACTAAGAGTACGTTGTTACAACCAGAATGATGGTATTATGTTTAAAATTAGATTATATTAGGAAACTGGCTTGCCTAGTGTCCTTAGGTGTGATCCAACCTGAATGGCAAGCCAGGCAAATTAAGTTCACTATCAATAGCCTGATATGCCCAAAGTCGAAGTGTTAATTTGCGTATAGGAATTGCACTGCCTGCGCAGTCAGTCTACTTGTGACTTCTCTTTTCTTGAGATACCTATTCGGCCCAGGGATGTATGCAAATGAGGTCTGGATGTTCATAGAAGCTCTGTCTCCTCCTCGGGAAATGCAGATTGCCACATGTTGCATCTCTTCCGACCCAGTTTTCATTCTCACCTCTTCGGTTCTTTGATTGGTTTTGCTACTCCATTTCTAGAACCTTCTTCACCATCAGCCCATCTTGGGTTGGTTAGTGTTTATGTTCGGCCCCAAATAACAGAAACTTGACTAAACAATGGTTTCAAAGAACCATGAGGTTTAATTCTTCTCAGTGGCAGTTGCAGCATTAGTGGAGATGTGAAAACGTTGATCCTGTCAAGAAGTAAGTTGCTTGCCTAGGCGGAAAGGTACTTCATGTTGCCCCAAGTCTCCAGATTGTTATTTACTGTCCTAGATGGGGCCATTTAGTTTTCATGACAGGCTGCCGACTTTCTAGTTACCGTGTTCCCTCTAGCTGGCCTGGCTCCATTCTAATTTCATCAGATTCAGGCAGGTATTGGGCCAACCTGGAGCTTCCCTAGGATGCTGCTCCACTTGCCAGTGGTTCAGAATGTGGGTCTTGGGTTAGCTCTGAGATGCCCTAGGTTTTGAGTTGCTGAAGCAGAGCCTTCACACACCCTCAGTCCTATGCTCTTTTGAGGGCACAGAGAAGCCATGACATGAGAACAGGATAGCACTGAAAAGCCTATGGTGTGCCAGTTGCTATAGACACACTTTCTCTCTGAAGCCTCCTAAGAGCCTAGGAAATTAATCCTATTATCTTTTGCATTTGGGAGATGAGGACGCAGATTCAGGAAATGTAAATAACAAGACTGTATGGCCAGTGCAGGTCTGTCTGATTCCAAACCCTATTCTCTTTCCAGTCACACTGTGCTGACCTCTGAAAGTTCCTAGGTCATCAAGGTGGGGCAGGGGTGGAGAGGAGAGGGCAGAGTAGACACCGTATCTCCAGGAACCTGGGATCAGGCCAGAACCCCAGGGGCTGGGTGCTGCAGAAGGCATTTCCCTGGAGCCTGCTAGTGACCCAGACTAGGGTCTCTGGTGGTTACATAACAGTTGCAGCCCCCTGAGACAGCTGGTATCTACAGTGGCAGAAACAGGGGATTCCTTAGCTAGTTTAGATATTCTATAAGAGCTGGGAGAAATCATACCTAGGTCTGCACTACGGTTCGGCAGAAAAGGTTGAAAATGCTGAGTTGCTTTGCTCCTGGCAAGAGTCACATTAGCTCCAGGTGGTGGCCAGTTATCTTGTGTTCATCAAAAACTGTAATTGGTGGTTCTGTATCTCTCTTTTTGAAAATGAGTTAGATTTAATAATCGTGTAATAATCATATGGGGGGCAATACACAGAACTCCTCTGCCCCAATGCCATTTGCAAAAGGCACTGGGCAGAAAGGGTCTATGTACTGCTCCCCAAATCGATCCCATCAGGCAAAGATTCCCATAGTGGCCCTTGTATTCTGTCTCTAGAAAGGGAGGTAGCAATCCTGATTCTGTGAGCTCAGGTATCCTTGTCCATTCCTCACTCCTCACCAGCATTAGGATCCTCCATGCCCCGCTCCGGTCATCACTTTTTGTTCTATGGCTTGGGGCAGTGCCACTGATCCACAGAAGAGGACTTCCATGTCTATAATGGTCATCACCATTTCCCAGCAAATGGCCAGAAGATGCCCAGTTCTTTCGTGTCCTCCCAGGTAGCCATCCAGGCATGTCTGCTCCAGATCTTACAGTTCTCTCAGGTGTGCTTGGCCTGAAAGGGAAATAGTCAGATGCCTTATCTATACCATACCTATTTACAAAAGTTATTTCATGTGAGGAACTGAAGAAAAAAAGATGGAACAGAAGGGAAGAGTCTGTGTATTGAGCCTCTGGAAAGGAGAATCAATGAAACTTAAGCTCTCCCAGAAAAGTGTGGGGTGCGTTGTACAACTTAACTTTAGGGAACATGGTCCAATACAGTGTTTCCCATCCTCTCTGTTGTCATGGTGCACGGGGAACATGATCGTATTTGAACCACACACTGGAGAACAAGGTAAATAAGCAGAGCCACTCACAGCCAGAAACAACAAACATCCCAGGAAGCTCTGGAAACCCCAGACCCCACGAAGCCACACCGAGAATAAGGGGCCCAAGTCTGGGCACACCTCCGGAAGCCTTGGTCCAGTCAGTAGAAGGGTGTATAAAAATCCAGAGGAGCCCAATCCTGCCGTCACTAACGTGTGTATTTTCCCGCTGGGCAGCTCAGGAACCAACGCAGCTACTTGGTGTCTGGAGCAGCTTCCTAAAACCTTCCCTCTCTGAGCCTCAACTTCACCTCGGTCTAAAAATCACTCAGCAACTCTGAACTCCTGATGATGAAGGGTCATTCTGTTCAGACATAATCAAGTCTGTTTCTCTTATATGGCTAAAATGCCCGCAGTGCCCTAGGCAAGCATATGAAAAGAGAATTTGTATGACTCACACCATTACTGGGCAGTTTGTATTTTATCTCTTCCTTCCGTAAAGCCTGTGGCAAAAAACTGTTGTGTTTCCATGGTTGACACCCCACCAAAAGGTCTCAAGATACATCTTCTATTTGTTTTTTTTTTTGTTGTTATTATTATTACTATTATTATTATTATACTTTAAGTTCTGGGGTACATGTGCAGAACGTGCAGGTTTGTTACATAGGTATACACATGGTGGTTGGCTGCATCCTTCACCCCGTCATCTACATTAGGTATTTCTCCTAATGCTGTCCCTCCCCTACCCCCTACCCCCTGCAACCCCTGCCCGAACCCCTCCTTCCCCGACAGGTCCCAGTGTATGATATTCCCCTCACTGTGTCCATGTGTTATTGTTCAATACCCACTTATGAGTGAGAACATAGCTCTCACCTTATTGTATCTTCTAATATAAAATGTCAATCAGTACATTTTAAGTGGGCATTTTAAAAATAGTTTATTGAATCTTCAATTAAATTTATGACATAACTAGATATTGCAAAGATATATGAACTTCATGATTGAAGTCCACAGAACTGATGCTAAAACAACCTAACAAAAGAGAGAAGTGACTTAAATTCATGTATATGTGTTTATCAAATTTAATTAGTAGCTTTGAAACGACCCAGCAATCTCACTCCTAGGTTTTATGTACCTGAGAGCAATTTGTACATATATTCACCAAAAGACATGTACTAGAATGTTCATAGCAGCTTTATGTGTAATAGCCCCAAATTGGAAACAGCCCACATTTCTGTCGACAAAAGAATGAATAAATAACTTAAGTTATATCCATATAATAAGATCCTACTTGGCAATAAAGGCAACATACTTCTAATACTCACAATAACACGAATGAGTCTCAATAGAAAAATAGAAGCCAGTCACAAAAGAACACATATTTTATGATTTCATTTATACGAAGGTCAGAAGCACATGTCTGGAGTGGTTACCTCCAGATGGAAAGGCAGGGATTGACTAGAAAGAGTATGAGGAACTTTCTGGATTGCTAGATTTGTGATGCCTTGATCCAGATGGCGGGTACAAATGTGTACACATGTTTAAACAGTGAGCAACACACTTTAGATTGATGTAGTTTATGTACTTGTATCTTGCAATAAAAAATGAAAATTAAAATACATTTGACATACATTGAATGTCTGGGAAAATTTCCCTAGTCACCTAACTTTGCTTTTTGGTTTAAAACACAAAAAGTTAGAAGTTGAATTAAACAAGGCCAGGACCCTTTGGAAGAGAAGCAGAGATCAAACATCACACCAGGGGCAGCTGGAAAAACCATTCAGCAAAATTCGCAGAACTTCCTCTGCTGACCTGGCCCATCCTGAAGTCTCTCAACAAGGGGCTCATTCTACCCTTTTTGCCTCCACTTCACGTTTTCCCGATTTGGAGATTGTTATGGGCTTAATTATGTCTCCCCAAATTTATATGTTCAGGTCCTCACTTTCAGCACCTCAGAATGTAACAGTATTTGGAGACAGGGTCTCAAAGAGGTAATTAAGTTAACATGAGGTCATTTGGGTGGGCCCTAATTCCATCTAACTGGTGTCCTTATAAAAAAAGAACTTTAGGGGCCGAGGTAGGCAGATCATGAGGTCAAGTGATCGAGACCATCCTGGCCAACATGATAAAACCCCCATCTCTACTAAAAATACAAAAATTAGCCTAGCATGGTGGCACACACCTGTAGTCCCAGCTATTTGGGAGGCTGAGGCAGGAAAATCACTTGAACCCAGGAGGCAGAGGTTGCAGTGAGTTAAGATTGTGGCACTAAACTCCAGCCTGGTGACAGAGCAAGACTCCATCTAAAAAAAAAAGGAGCACATCAGGGCCCAAATGCACACAGGGGAAGGACCACATAAAGATGCAGGAAGAAAATAGCCATCTACAAGCCAAGGAGGGAGGTCTCCAAGGAAACAAATCCTGGTAAGATCTTGATCTTGAACTTCTAGCCTCTGGGACTGTGAGAAAATAAATTCCTGTTATTTAAGCCACCCAGTGTGTAGTACTTTGTTATAGCAACCCTAGAAAATTAACTCAGGGCTTTTCTCCTGGCTAAGACCACTCACACTCCAACTCTAGCTTCCACGTGGTTATGGCTGCTTCACCTAAGTGGCCTTAACTTCATCCTTAATCCGTGTCCAGACCTCAGTTCCAGAAGATATTTGGCACTCTGGATGCAGAACATACTCCAAGAACAAACCACTTTAGACAAACACAGGAAGCCCATGTTTCACTTTCTGGAAAAAGGGGCAGGGTGTGGAGTCTAACAAACTCACAGTAACACAAACAACATCGCAACCTCATTCACATCAAGCCTCTCCCAAAGGGATGTAATTATTTGGCCTAATTTTTAAGACAAAGAAGGAATTGGACTATCAAGCAGCTGAGGTCTAGAGCATCGCTATCAGGCAGCTGAGGTCTAGAGCATCGCTATCAGGCAGCTGAGGTCTAGAGCATCGCTATCAGGCAGCTGAGGTCTAGAGCATCGCTATCAGGTAGCTGAGGTCTAGAGCATTGCTATCAGGCAGCTGAGGTCTAGAGCATCACTATCAGGCAGCTGAGGTCTAGAGCATCGCTATCAAGCAGCTGAAGTCTAGAGCATCATGTATCTTTCCACGTTCATAGCGTTTGTCAAACCATGAAAAACTGACTTCTACTTCCCAGAAGATGAAGTAGACATGCTTTCCCCATTCCTTCTGCTAAGTACTTCTAAAAACCCTGGACATTCTGTATAAAGCAAATATCAGGAAACCCTGAAAGGTAGAAAGAAGAGGGCAAATCAGCTAGAGAACTTGGGACCCAAAGAATGACCCGGTGGTGAGTTCCCTGGGTTTTCTTCTTGTCTCGTAAATCCCTGACTTGGAGCTGAAAAAGCCAGCAACTGGGAATGCCAATGGGCACAGATAAAAGAAAGTTTCAATCAAAGCCTACTTTCTCTAGCCAAAGGGCCTGGAAAGGGCATCCAAGTAGTACTGGTTATTTTAAACAATAACCACTCTCCTACAAAGACCACAGAAAAAAACTATGGTTCACTCACACCAGAAAAGGCCAATAGGAGAGCCTAGACTTCCATCTTTACGAGCTGCAACAAAGTACCCCAGCCCCACTTTCCACCCCACCTTATGCCAGGGTGATGTAAGACGCCCCATAGGATAGTAGCAACACCACACATCAACAGCAGAATGCACACTCTTTACATGTGCCCACAGAACATATACCAAGATAGAACATACCCTGGGCTATAAACTACATATACCCTGGGCTATAAACACACACACAATAAATTTAAAATCATTGAAATAATACAGAGTATGTCCTCTAATCACAAAAGAATCAAACTAGAAATCAGTAACAGAAAGATTAGAAAATCTCCAACATTTGGAAACTAAAGAAGAGTGGACTATTATGTCTTCTTGATGCACTGACCTTTTGATCATTATATAATGTCTTTATCTGTCTCTGGTAATTTTCTTTGCTTGAAATTCCACTTTATCTTTCTCCATCTTATTATTTCCAACTTGCCTATGTCTTTATATTTGCAGCGAGTTTCTTGTACATAGGATAGATTCTGGTTGATTTTTTAAAATCCACTTTGCCAATCTCTGTCTTTTGATTGGTGTATTTATACAATTTACAAGCATCGAACATTTTCCACCTAAAATTAGGGAAAAGGTAAGAATGTCCACATGCACTACACTAATTCAACATAGTGCTGCAAGTGCTAGCCAGTGCAATAAGTCAAGAAAAAGAAATAAAAGGCATACAGATCGGAAAAAAAGGAACAAAACTGTTCCTATTTGCAGGTGGTATGACTGTCTACATAGGAAATCCCAACAATACACAAAAAAACTTCTAGAGTTAATAAGTGAATTCAGCAAGGTCACAAGACACAAAATAAACATACAGAAAACAATTATATTTATATATATATGAAATGAACACACGGGGACTAAAAGCGAAAATATAATGTAAATTAAAACCATCATGAGGTATCACTTCACCCCTGTTAAGAGGACTATTAACAAACAGGAAAGTGATAACAAATGTTGGCGAGGGCGTGGAGAAAAGGGAACTTGTGTTCCTCGTTGGTGGGAATATAGATCGGTATAGCCATTATGGAAAACACTACAGACATACTTTGTTTTGTGATGTTTTGCAGATTCTCCTTTTTTTTTCTTTTTTACAAATTGAATGTTTGTGGCAACTCTATGTCAAGCAAGTCTACCAACACAAGGTTTCCAAAGCA